AGTGAGGAGGTTAAAAAAAAATTGGAACCCTTGTGCAGTTTGGTGGGAATGTAGAATTGTGCATAAGCTATGAAAAACAATATGACAATTCCTCTAAAAATTAAAAACAGAATGAGCGTTCTTGTTGTTGTTCAGTCTCTAAATTATATATGACTCTTTGCAACCCCATGGACCACAGTACACCAGGCCTCTCTGTCCTCCACTATCTCCAGAGTTTGCTCAGATTCATGTCCATTGAGTTGGTGATACTATCTAACCATCTCATTCTCTGCCACCCACTTCTCCTTTTGCCTTCAATCTTTCAGAGCATCAAGATCTTTTCCAATGAGTCAACTCTTTGCATCAGGTAGCCAGAGTTTTTCCAATGAATAGTCAGGATTGAATATTCAGGATATTCCAATGGATATTTTTCCAATGGATATTCCTTTAGGATTGACCCTAGGATCCAGCAAGTCCGTGTAGAGGTATATACTCAAAAGAATTGAAAGCAGGGTCTCAAAGAAATATCTGCATATTCATGCTCATAACAGCACTACTCACAATATCAAAGAGATGAAAGCAATTATGTCCATAAGTAGATGAATGGATAAATAGAATGTAGTATATACATACAATGGATATCAATCAGTCTTCAGAAGGAAAGTAAGTCTAACACATGCTACAGCATGGATAAACCTTCAAGACCTTATGCTAAGTGAAATAAATCAGTCAAAAAAGACAAATACTGCATGATTTCACTTATATGAGGTGTACAGGGTAGCCACATTCATAGAAACAGAAGGTAGAATGGTGGTTGCCGAGGGAGAAGGAAATGGGGAGTTGCTGTTTTACAGAATTTCAGTTTTGAGGATGAAAAAGTTCCAGAAATGGCTTATACAACATTGTGAATAGGTTTAACAACACTGAACTGTACACTTAGAACTGGTTATGATGATAAATTTTGTTATGCTTTTTTTTTTACCACAAAGAATTTCTATTTCTTTTCAAATAAGTATCTATTGGTATATTTTATCTATGTTCCTAAAGAAGCTTTTAAAAAGTGGTGCTCCCGTCTTTTCCTTTAATTACACAAAGGGAGAAACTACTATACTACCTCCATTACCCTCAGTAACGCCACCTTTCTGTATGGTGTTCTAACCTTACCCATGTTATAATATATTATGCTACCACCAGTTGATTTTTTCTGAACCATGATAACTACTTCATTGCCCCTGCATTATTTTCTGATGCAGGGTAATCAACTTGGGAATCACTAACAGATTTGTTTATTCTTTGCATGCATCACAACAGAATCCTCTACAGCATCCCCAAATGCTGGAATATTTATCTACTCACTATGATCTGCGAGCAAAAAAAATACTTATAAAACCAACACAAATAAGGTTTTCCTCATTTTAAAAAATTCTATAATGTAATATTACATTTGCATTCTGTGATGTTATTTTCAATCACCAATGACTTGGTCACAATTATTCACTTCTGGGATTAAAATTCCCACTATAGACATCAGCAAATAAAACAGATATGATTTATCCAATTTTGTTTTTTCAATCAGAAATCTCTTTCAAAGCATTGTGCACTGTAATGTGCATTTCCTAATCATTCCCATTAAAAGGAAATGTATGTAATATATGCTAACACAATAATTAAAATGACCTTAGTAAATCTTATTTTAGCATTATGTATTTTACATTCAAAGGGACCATTTACCATTTTACTTTAGCTATTTATACATTTCCTTCTCCAGGGCATCTTCCCGACCCAGGGATCGAACCCAGGTCTCCAGCATTGCAGGCAGAGCTACCAGGGAAGTCCCATTTATAAATTACTAACTGTTAACTTCCATTTATCTGTGTGTGGATTATCAATCACAGTCTTTAAACCCAAGATGATTTTTTCCTGGAATGGAGTATATTTTTAAACTAAATTCTTGTTTTGTTAGGTTTTCTTGTGTGAGTTTAGTGAATATAAGCATAGTTTATGTCATGGTACAACTTAAGTAGGACAGTAAAAAAACTGCTGAGAAAAAAGTAATAGCATTTCAAATCTAAAGAAAAATTACTTTTATATTACTCAGTACTGGGTTAGATTTTTCAAGTTTCTGCTCATTTCAATTTATATAATAAATATGGATCACAGGCAAATTACTAAGCCCACCCAGTAAGTATAAACTTTCTAGACCATGGGGGTTTTCTGTGAATCAAGCAAAATGTCAGGCATAGAGTGGGTATAGTTTGAAAGTTGTCTCTAGATAGTATATTACCTCTCCTCTTATTTAATTGTTGTAGATAAAGGTAAGGCCCGAGAATAATGAATTTAATTGTAATTTAAGTGGCTACATTACAATTCTTAAGGGGAATAAACACTTCAGGCTGTAGTAGATTATTAGGCGCTATCTCCAATTCATTTTACTTAAGATGATTTGGGTATCACTTTTCAACAAAAAGATGAAAAATACCATATACCTTATATCTCACTAGCAATAATCATTGTCTGTTTCATCCCCTTCATTGTTGGGTAGGTTTAATGGCTCAGCCTAAAACTATATATTTTAGTACAAGGTCAAAGCTAAAATACAGGTCTCTTGATTTTCAGTCTAGCCCTTTTTGCTAAATACCCTGCTACTTGATAAACGGAGCGCTATTAATTGTGAGTGCTATTAATTCCAAGATTTTGGAAGCACAGGTGCATTTGAAAGTCTGTAGAAATTGCACCATAGTAACCTATTTTCTTCCCTAATTTTCTCATTAAATTTTCTTAATATAAAAAAATCAACTAATGGTGTATATGCATAAATGTTAGTATAATAATAATTGCCAAAGAATGCTCAAACAACAGCACAATTGCACTCATCTCACACGCTAGCATAGTAATGCTCAAAATTCTCCAAGCCAGGCTTCAAAGTACGTGAACCGTGAACTTCTAGATATTCCAACTGGATTTAGAAAAGGCAGAGGAACCAGAGATCAAATTGCCAACATCCGCTGGATCATCGGAATAGCAAGAGAGTTCCAGAAAAACATCTACTTTTGCTTTACTGAATATGCCAAAGCCTTTGACTGTGTGGATCATAACAAACTGTGGAAAATTCTTCAAGAGATGGGAATCCCAGACCACCTGACCTGCCTCTTGAGAAATCTGTATGCAGGTCAGGAAGCAACAGTGAGAATTGGACATGGAACAACAGACTGGTTCCATATCGGGAAAGGAGTACATCAGGCTGTATATTGTCACCCTGCTTATTTAACTTATATGCAGAGTACATCATGAGAAACGCTGGACTGGATGAAGCACAAGCTAGAATAAAGACTGCCAGGAGAAATATCAATAACCTCAGATATGTAGATGACACCACCCTTATGGTAGAAAGTGAAGAAGAACTAAAGAGCCTCTTGATGAAAGTGAAAGAGGAGAGTGAAAGAGTTGGCTTAAAACTCAACATTCAGAAAGCTAAGATCATGGCATCTGGTCCCATCACTTTATGGCAAATAGATGGGAAACAGTGACAGACTATTTTGAGGGGCTCCAAAATCACTGCAGATGGTGACTGAAGCCATGAAATTAAAAGACGCTTGCTCCTTGGAAGAAAATCTGTGACCAACTGAGAGAGCATATTAAAAAGCAGAGACATTACTTTGCCAACAAAGGTCTGTCAAGGCTATCGTTTTTTCAGTAGTCATGTATGGATGTGAGAGTTGGACTATAAAGAAAGCTGAGTGCTGAAGAATTGATGCTTTTGAACTGTGGTGTTGTAGAAGACTCTTGAGAGTCCCTTGGACTGCAAGTAGATCCAACCAGTCCATCCTAAAGGAAATCAATCCTGAGTATCCATTGGAAGGACTGATGTTGAAGCTGAAACTCCAATACTTTGGTCCCTGATGTGAAGAACTGACTCATTGGAAAAGACCCCAATGCTTGGAAAGATTGAGGGCAGGAGTAGAAGGGGATGACAGAGGATGAGATGGTTGGGTGACATCACCAACTCAATGGATATGAGTTTGAGTAAGCTCTGGGTGTTGGTGATGGACAGGGAAGCCTGGAGTGCTGCAGTCCATGGGGTCGCAAAGTGTCAGACATGACTGAGCGACTGAACTGAACTGAATAATTGCCAACACTTATGTAACTTTTGCACCAGGCACTATTCCAAGTATTTTCCCCTTATTTCTCACAAAAATTTTAGGAAACACAACATTCCATTGTTACTTTCTTTTAACAGCAGAGGAAAAAACTGAGGCACAGAGAAAGTGAAAGTGAAGTCACTCAGTCATGTTGGACTGTTTGCCAGGCTCCTTTGTCCACTGAATTTTCCAGGCTAGAGTACTGGAGTGGGTTGCCAGTGCCTTCCCCAGCGGCTCTTCCTAACCCAGGGATTGAACTCAGGTCTCCTGCGTTGCAGGCAGACGCTTTACCATCTGAGCCACCAGGGGAAGCTAACTAATTAACTAGCTAAAGGTTCTGTAGCATATAAGTGATAGAGCTGATCTCTGAACGCAGTATATTCTGGTTCAGAATCTCCCTGTAGAATTATCTGATCACACAAATGATGCCTTGAGCCCCCTTTCACAGATATCTCAGTCAAACTAGAACACCAACTGTCCTTAACTCCCAGTGACAGTCTGCTCTGACAACACAGACTGAGTGAGATGCCTTCCCTGTCCTCCTCTGTCACATAGCCCCCACCCAAGATGCTAGTCTTAATAATTTTTTTCTTTTCATTTCCCAATTAATTTTAACTCCTTGAAGCAAGAGTTACTGAAAGACTGGCACACAGTACAGTATAGGAATACAGGAGAGGTTCAATAAATGTCTGTTGAATGAATTAATGCTCTCATTGTTTGCAGGACTGCCTACTGGCACTCCAGACTACACCAAAACAGTCATATCCACGTCCCTCCACCACTACCACTCTGATTTCAACTTTTGCAGTTCTCCACATTACTAAAACTTCACATCTCTTTGAAATACCAATAGGTATTCCCTCCCCCCCCAAAAAGTCTTACCTTCTAAATCTTCTTTCTCAAAGTGTGTTTTGAGAATAGAACGAGTTCCACCTCTATCCACAACTGCTTCTTCATCATTTCTCTGGAAGAGAGAGAAAGAAGACTAAATGATAGTACTATATATTCTCTTAATTTCAGAAAATAAATTTTAATGTCACCTGATAATTTAGAGGTCTAATTCAGTAACATAAACCTACCTGCACATGACTATTCTGTTTGATTATCAAGTGCTAGTTTACAAAAGAAAAGACTAAGATTAATTTGACCACACATTTAGAGAAGGAATGCCACTTGATGTTCCATGAAATTAAGGGCAGTCAAACATTTTAGTTGGCATCATTTGTTAGTGAGATGAAAAATAGAAAACAAATAGTTATTCTGTCAATTTAGTAACATACATTTTTATCTCTGATAAAGAATTCTTGTTAACAGGATGACATTTTGAACTGTACAAGGGAAATGTGAAAATCAGTAATATTAACACCACTAATGCTATGGCAGGGACAAATAATTCCATTGCCATTATAAACATGGTTGAGGAGAACTAACCTCTTGAAAGCAATTAGTAGCAATTACTAAATAAAGTACAACTCTAGTGACTTTGCTTCAGTATAATGCATTTTATTCAAACTAAACTGTAAATTACAATCATATGCATTAAACCTTCATTCAGTTTCTCTAAATTTTTTTACTTATTTAGAAGAACTGGACATAGGCTCTGTATTTTGAACACTGTACACATACTCAAAGCAGTAGACTCAGTGATTAGGTATTCAGTAAAATAATGGAGGAGGTGTAAGCATATTCCATATTGACCATGTAGGAATGGACAAAATACAAAATACTGAATGAAGAGAAATACAGATTATTTACAACTTGTATCTGATTGTGAACATCTATGTAAAAATTGCCTTAAAAGTGAACACTGGGCATGAAAGGAGAAATGAAAAGGTAGAATAAAGTTGAACGAATCTTCCAAGATCTATGTCTAAGCTTATTCAAGTTTATAACTATTAGAAGAGTAAAATATTTTTGTTTCTTCTTTGAAAGTCTTTTAATAGCTGATCATAATCTTAATAAAGATTTGTCCTTTTTGTTGAGCAAATCAGTAGTTTCAGCTGTAGGATTACAGACGTGGAAAAAGTGAAAGTGTTAGTCATTCAGTCATGTCTGACTCTGCGATCCCACGGAGTGTAGCCCACCAGGCTCCTCTGTCCATAGGATTCTCCAGGCAAGATTACTGGTGGGGTGCCATTCCCTTCTCCAGGGGATCTTCCTGACCCAGGGACTGAACCCTGGTCTCCTGCATTGCACACAGATTCTTTACCGTCTGAACCACCAGGGAAACCCAGATTATAGATATATTTCAATCTAAAAAGATCAGCTCTCATATCCTTCAAATGCAGCAAAATATGTAGCAGAAGGACATGCTTTATGCCCTGTTGTCTTTCTGACAACTTGGGCTGACACAAGGCAGGGTAAAGTCTTTGAAATTAGAATTAAAGAAATTTACAATATAATGAGAGAAAAAATTAAAATGAAGATAGATTTCAGGACCCATTGCTCTTCTGTTTGGCAAGGTTTAAGAAAATCTGTTGGTTTAAGCAATAATAGCAATAGCCAAAGTCGAGACATATCATTTTCCTGAACCAAATAAATGTAAGCTTCAGCCTATTTTGAATCTGCTCTTGATACATTTACAAATGAAATTTATCCTCTGTGCAAGACATTTTCAAATATATGTCACATTGGAATACAACTCTGCCCTCTGGGGTGTTGTTAGGAAGAATGCCAAAAGCTAAGTCATGCATCCTTGTTCAAAGGTCAGAAAGAGCACTGTTCCACTATAACTCAAAATGGCAGTCTCTGAAAACAACTGCAAAATGGAAAGCTTTATATAGAATATATGAAGATGTTTTTCCCCATACAATAAATATTTGATTTTGATTTCCAAGACCTGAAGCAATTTTCAACTTATACAAAAGGTTTTTTTCCCCTTATTTATATAAAGCATGTATACTCTCTGTATACAAAAGATAATTCTCTTGAATAGCTAGTGTTAAGATATTGAGATAAAATAAAATTCTGCATCAGAAGGAGAAGTAGAATCTAAATAGGAAATAGCTTATTGTTTAATTACTATGCAGGTCACAAGCAGAAGTGACCTAATTTTAATTTTTCTTTAAAAGAGAAAGAACTAGAAGCTAGAATATGAATATAACTCAATGTAAGTGACTCATTTTGTAGTTTCACATTATCCTCTTTAAATATCCCTAGTTGTTCCGTATTTGCAGTTAAAAATTCCCAAGATATAGATTAATGCTAATACATACACTGAAATTCCTCAACTTTGGCTATAGCTCAAAAGATTGCTTTGATATTATTCAAGACTTTTAGCAGAGTAGTTCCCTTCCCCCACATTACCAGGAGCAGGTAAACATGAGGTGTGATAATGGGAAATGCAGAGCAACATATGGCACTGGGTCCAGTCCATGTGGTAATCCCAAATAGAGCAATAAGTAAAATTTTTACTTCATCTTGAACTGTCATTATCTTTAGAATTGGTGAAAATCAGATATATATTAATGTGCCCTAATTTCCATATGTATTAATATTCACTCATCTAGGAGCAAATTTTAGCACTGTGTTAGAGAGACAACATGTAAATATATTACAATGCCTTTCAATACAATTCACCTTTGCTATACTGTTGGGTAAACACTTTTCAGATGGTTGAGCCCAGCAAATAGTGTTTTAATTGGATAGAGGAACATGGCCCATAGCGAAAAATACATATCCCAACACAGTCACATATTCATATACATGTAATCAAAAGTTTGGCAAACTAGCATTTATTCTTACTATAAACAAGGCACTCTGATATTTTCTGTTCAAGGGTATACTACTTCATTCAGAAGTCCTAATCACTATTCATTACATTTATTTAAGGACTGAAAAATGGCTTGTGACCTGCAATTTGAAAAACATTGGTATAGACTATGACCCTGGGATAGACGAACTTATTCACACAGAAATTTCTTCTAGAATTGTTTATAAATATCATCAGCTCTGAGAGTATGCAAAAAAACACCTTTTTCTGATTTACCATGGCTCTTGAGCACAGTCATAAATGAAATAAACTTTTCTAGTTTTACAAGCCAAAATCTAACAGCAATCTTCTGGGCAGGAAAACTGAAACTTTTTCATGTCCTTTTGATAATTCTCATCTCATCTGAAAATGGATTAATAGAGGAGAAAGCAGGTTTTTTTCAATTCAGAATTTTTTCTTCCTTATAACTATTTATCATATTTTTTAAAAAGTAACCACTTTCTCTGCCTTTTTAAAAAATATCAGATATTAGCATATTAGGTGTCCTATATATTCCCCACTAATCCCTACAGATTCACTTTCCACTCATTCTCCATGCTCTGTTTCTTTACAGACTGCATTACTAGGATCCCTTGACTTTTAGCTTCCCATAATGACAGAGGACTATAGAGTTGGGCCCAGGGAAACATGGCCCCTGTTGGACCATAGTTTGGAAATGACTGTGATCCTTTATCAAAGAACAAAGATCTTGTCATGTGACTTCTACAGCTATAGATCTCACTGGTTTGCATTAACCACTTCCTTGCTCCTTTAGGCCTAGGAGTAGTAACAGTTTCCAGCTGTTGTACATTCCTAGAATTTGATTAAACCTACTTGCTTACCCTTTATCCTGCCTACACTTTTTAAAAAAATTTTATTGGAGTATAGTTGGTTTACAATGCTGTATTAGTTTTGGGCATACAGCGAAGTGAATCAGTTATACATATATGTCTTTTTAAATTCTTTTCCAATATCAGTTCAGTTCAGTCACTCAGTAGTGTCTGATCTTTGTGATCCCATGAACCGCAGCACGGCAGGCCTCCCTGTCCATAACCAACTCCCAGAGTCCACCCAAACCCATGTCCATTGAGTCAGTGATGCCATCCAACCATCTCATCCTCTGTCATCCCCTTCTTCTCCTGCCCTCAATCTTTCCCAGAATCAGGGTCTTTTCAAATGAGTCAGCTCTTCGCATCAGGTGGCCAAAGTACTGGGAGTTTCAGCTTCAACATCAGTCCTTCCAATGAACACCCAGGACTGATCTCCTTTAGGATGGACTGGTTGGATCTCCTTTCAGTCCAAGGGACTCTCAAGAGTCTTCTCCAACACCACAGTTCAAAAGCATCAATTCTTCAGCACTCAGCTTTCTTTATAGTCCAACTCTCACATCCATACATGACTACTGGAAAATCATAGCCTTGATTAGACAGACCTTTGTTGACAAAGTAATGCCTCTGCTTTTTAATATGGTGTTTAGGTTGGTCATAACTTTCCTTCCAAGGAGTAAGCATCTTTTAATTTCATGGCTGCAATCACCATCTGCAGTGATTTTGCAGCCCAGAAAAATAAAGTCAGCCATTGTTTCCATTGTTTCCCCATCTATTTGCCATGAAGCGATGGGACCAGATGCCATGATCTTAGTTTTCTGAATGTTGAATTTTAAGCCAACATTTTCCCCCTCCTCTTTCATCAACAGGCTATTTAATTCTTCTTCACTTTCTGCCATAAGGGTGGTGTCATCTGCATATCTGAGGTTATTGATATTCCTCCCAGCAACCTTGATTCCAGTTTGTGCTTCCTCCAGTCCAGCGTTTCTCATGATGTACTCTACATATAAGTTAAATAAGTAGGGTGACAATATACAGCCTTGATGTACTCCTTTTCCTATTTGGAACCAGTCTGTTGTTCCATGTCCAGTTCTCATGTTGCTTCCTGACCTGCATACAGATTTCTCAAGAGGCAGGTCAGGTGGTCTGGTATGCCCATCTCTTTCAGAATTTTCCACAGTTTATTGTGATCCACACAGTCAAAGGCTTTGGCATAGTCAATAAGGCAGAAATAGATGCTTTTCTGGAACTCTCTTGCTTTTTCGATGATCCAGCAGATGTTGGCAATTTGATCTCTGGTTTCTCTGCCTTTTCTAAAACCAGCTTGAACATCTGGAAGTTCATGGTTCACGTATTGCTGAAGCCTGGCTTGGAGAATTTTAAGCA